ATAGCCAACAAGAAAATGAATGAATGAATACTGGGTTGCGGCTGGAAGGGCACCTGCTGCTTAAAACATATGCCAGAATTGTTGGCAGTTCACTTCACTGTGACAACCTCTGAAATAGACACTAAATTAGAAAAATGAATGAAGGAATTCACTACACTGGTGTGATCAGTCTTGGCTGTTCTCTGGAGTGTATGATCACAGCTGTATGAATATTAAAGTCAGAGCATTCAACTCAACTAACAACTAACATTCAATCTCAACTAACTTTTCTTAACTTTTTGATTTAATGGCTAATTCGTATGAATTCTAATGATCTAATTCGTACAATTTAGGATGATTTGCTCATCACCCAATGAGTTAGGTGGGTTGGGTTTTGGGGCGGGGTTGGGTGCCACGCCTCCTTTTTAAAATCATACATTTCTGTACGAATTCGTATGAATTAGCCACTAAGCTGACAAAACGTAAAATACTCGTGAGATCAGGCTGGAGGATTACGTTATCAGCTACCAAATTCGAACTTGCATTCCCGTAAAGGCCCTTACTAAATAGTTTTAAAAATATGTGCTTTTACTTAAGTATGTTTTTAGTGCTGTATTGGTTTTTTTATTCCACTATTTCTTTATTTTTCTCGGTATATGTTGATTGTCTTAGTATAATTATCCCATGATTCCTGTTAAACTGCCCAAAAAAATTTAATTCTGCAAACATGCCCTAAATACATTAATGCTTTTATAAATGTAGCAAACATGTTTAATGAGTGTTAAAACGTCAAAAGGGCATGTTACTGATGAGAAGATAAAGGATGTGTACTGTATGATGATTGAAATCACTTTAAACAATAACTGTAGTAAATGTACTCTGTAATGTCATGAGTGTGTCGTGGGAACACCCTTCAAGTAAAGTTTTACCAATTATTTTTACAGCATGACACTAACTACTCTTCAGTACATTTGGAAGGGCTATTTTTAGCTCATACGTTAAGTAGGATTTACACTTTTACTCTATTTGCACTAAAGTTCTTGCCTAGTAATGACACTTCTACCTCATGTAAAAAGTAGGATTTTGCAGTCCTCTTTCCACCACTGGCCCGCAGGCTCATAAATACACTTAATTTCATAGTTATACACATATACATGTTATAGTGTATAACTAGTAATCATTTAAAGTTATACACTGCTGTCTGCAAATAAGGCAATACAAATTATATTAAGCATAATCTGAAAATGTGCTTTATTCACATGGTAAAGTACTATATTTATTTGTTATTTTGCACATTTAAAACAGCACTGTAAACTAATTTGTATATATATATATATATATATATATATATATATATATATATATATATATATATATATATATGTATTATCAAATAAAAAATTTTTTTGATTTGATCTGATCTGATTTGATCACTAAGCTCCACAGTGTAAATGTAGCAAAAGAGACTCACCCTGCTCAGCTTGACAGTGGTGCTAAAGGGATGAAAGGCATGAAATCACTCATAACTGTTACACTGCTTGTATAGCAGACTGAAGTGAAGTGTCATATATATTGGGAATCCCTGACTCAAGCTAAATGAAAAACTTTTTTTTTTGTGATTTCAGGACTTTTTTAAAAAACATTTTTATGCAAACAAATCATATTCATATTAAATGACAGACCTGATCATTCTGAACAAAATCCCTCAAGAACCACTTTTGTCAATGAAATCATTTTGTTAAATATTTAGCATTAATTATATTAGTATTTATGTACTTTTTAGATCAAAATAGCTAAACAAACATTATTGATGAATGTGTATGAGTTTTTGTCTATATCTGTTGTGACTATATTTATAATCAAATACACTGGTCTAGTTTGATGTATACCTTTGATTTATTCTTTCAAAATTGACCAAATATCATGACATATTCTGCTTTATAGAGTAAATAGAATTTTTTGTCACTGGATTCCATACTTCTGTCTTTGTTGTAGCATTGTACTCTTTAAACTCACACCCACGTTTAATGTGGTTTTCACTCAGTGTTTATGTGGACTGACTGACCCATTAAATTTCAATAACCAGATAAAGCTTAAACAAAACACAACTGCATCAGAATCACGATGACCCATTTCACAAACAGATATACATAGATATATATACATCTCAAAAAAGCTTTCATCAAACTATTTCTGTCAGCTTTATTTACGTCGCTATTGTCCTTATCCATTAACGCTCCAAGCACTTCAGCCGAACAATAAATCGCTGTATGAATTAGATTTAATGCATTTGGAGCGTATGGTTTCTCTCAGGCACCAGTGGCTGGTTGACTGCCATTGGACAAGGCAATCAAGTATTTGATTGACTGGCTCAGATCCCTGTAATAATGCATTCTCTATGTGACTAATCTGTCTCCATATGTGCCAGCTTTATAGGTCCACTTGCCAGGTTCACTAATGCAGCTTAGTATTTTATAGTTACCTGGCAAACTATTGGTTGTCTTTTACTATATTTGAAGAGATAATTCAAAATAATAATAATAATAATAATAAATATATAATAATAATAATAATAATAATAATAATAATAACAACAACAACAACAACAACAACAACAACAACAACAACAATAATAATAACAATAATAATAATAACAATAACAACAACAATAATAATAATAATAATAATAATAATAATAATAATAATAATAATAATAATAATAAATCTATTTTTATATTAATATTAGTTTTTAATCACATTTTTCTCACCTTCAAATGATTCAAAACTTTTTATTTTTATTTTTTAGTGTTCAAAAGAAGAAGGAAACTCAAACTCCGAAAAAAGTAAGTTTGGAACAAGTGGAGGATGTAAGTTTAAGTATTATTATGTGTTTTGTGTATTGGTTCAGCGGTTTCCTGTTCAGATAATTGTGCTTTTAAGGATTTTGAAGTTTGCTCACGCAATAGCCTGCAACCGGGTGCTTTAATTTGCAACTGCTAGCAAGTTTACCCATCCACTGTACTTCTAACAAACATTTGATTGTACATAACGTAATCCATTTGTGTATGCTGTAAACATTTGGGAGCAACTGAATAACATATGCATAATCTGTGACATATTTTTATGAAGGTACATATTTTTAAATTTACTGTACAAAGCATTACCTACAGTATACATATTTGTAACTAAAAGCAAAGAAATATACCAGCTTTGTCATTTCGATCATGCATTTGCACTTGCTAGGGTTACTGATTATGGTGTCATTATATATTTTATTACATGTTGTCATTATGTATTTTACATGCATTGTTTGTGTACATCTCTCTTTTTTAAAAAAGACAGTCTATGTATTATTTTGTGATAAAAGTTTAGAAAATAGTATTTCAAGTGATGACAACACAACAGTCAATTAACTATTAAGTAAATTTTCTTGGTTTGCATGACTAATTAAAAATGTCAGGAAATAATGTGCTTTTAACCCTGATTTATACTGAACATGTCCACACCAGAATCCTTATGAAGGTGGTTACTGAGTTTCCAAATCTAATCACTGGCAAAATAAATTAGTACAAGCCCTTTGATTTACACAGTTGTTGTTGTTGTTGTTTTTTTGATGGATGGTACTCACGCTTGGTTTAAGCATGTTGATTGAGCACAACGAGAGTGTGATCTTTCAGCTAGAAAGTCTATCACAAAAAGATATTTTGTATCATATTTATTTATTTTGCATATCACAGCCTTTTGTGATATGGTTTGATTTTTATTAGTTGCACAACCAAATAAAAGTGGCTAAATTACATTCCTGTACCTTGTACGAATATATATACAGTTTAGGTCAGAATTATTAGCCCCCAATTTTTTATATATTTTTTTATATTTTCCAAATGATGTTTAACAGAGCAAGGAAATTTGCACAGTATGTCTGATAATATTTTTTCTTTTAGAAAAAGTCTAGTTTGTTTTGTTTAAGCTAGAATAAAAGCAGTTTTTATTTTTTTTAAAAGCCATTTTAGGGACAAAATTATTAGCCCCTATAAGCTATTTTTTTCTCGATAAACTACAGAACAAACCACTGTTATACAATAACTTGCCTAATTACCCCAACCTGTCTAGTTAACCTAATTAACCTAGTAAAGCCTTTAAATGTCACTTTAAGCTTTCTAGAAGTGTCTTGAATAATATCTAGTAAAATACTATGATGGTAAAGGTAAATACATAGCACATGTGTTTGGACTGTAGGGGAAACCAGAGCACCCAGAGGAAACCCACATGAACATGGGGAGAACATGCAAACTCCACACAGAAATGCCCAGCAGGGACTTGAATCAGCGACCTTTTCGCTGTGAGGCAACAGTGCTATAATTTCTTCATTCGATGTACAATAAATTATATTACACTATCAAGTATTGTACTGAATGACTGAATTAAACAATGTTCTTTTTATCTCTTTTTATTTTTTAAATGTTTGCAATGTCTGAATTTTTACCCTACAATAAATGAATTTTTAGCCTACAATATTTTAAATAAATAAATAAATAAATAAATAAAGAAAGAAAGAAAGTATATATATATATATATATATATATATATATATATATATATATATATATATATATATATATATATATATATATATATATATATATATATATATATAAGAGACAACTTCTGCCATGAATAATGAAATGTTTCTTTGAACTATAGAAAGTGTTTACATCTCCAAATGCCACAACAAGAAAATGTCAGCAAACATGCATTGCAAAGCAACCAGTGATAAGAGCAGACAAACATCTGAATAGCGGAAACACTGGCATTTCAGCGAGTGCAAAACCTGAAAGTACACACAAACTGTTTGAAAATAGGATTTGAGACCTTTCTCTAATCAAAAAAAAAGCAAAAAAAAAAAAAAAAAGGTCCATCTGCAGTCATTAAATCACTTAACAAAGATGCACTATGGATTATTTAAATAGTCAATTGCTTGATTTTTTTTTTTATTTTTTCCATCATGGCCAAGGTATTACCTGCAGGTTTCCTTTTATGCTGTCCAGTTCCTTTGATGTTTTGGAGAGATGTCGTAAAATTCCTGTCCTCTCTGTGAAAACCTCCTTCAGCTTCTTTTCCAGCCCCTCATAGCTACAGGAAAAGAAAAGAAATAGGAAGATGACTTCTTTAAATCTACAGCATGCCTGGCAAATTCATTCTGCACGGCGTGCTACAGCGGCCTGGAGGATTCGAGGCCATTGTGAGCGGAAGATGAACCCAAGGAAAGCATTCCATAGTTCATCATCAAAATCCTGAAAAAGAAATTGTGACCTCAACTCACAGTTGCGTCAGGTTCTGTTTCAGGATTTAATGATGTCACTTTTTACATTTTTTTTTAAAATATATTTATACAGCAGAACAAAATGTTGGGTTCATAATATCATTATGAAATCTGATATATGGCAATATACTGTAGGCAAATTACATTTAAGACAAGTTTTTTGTTTGCGTTTCACATATATAACATAACATATATAACAAAATATTGCAAAAATGGCATTATATATATATATATATATATATATATATATATATATATATATATATATATATATATATATATATATATATATATATATATATTATTTTCTTTTTTTAATATTTCCCAAGTTATGTTTAAAAAAATGAATGTTTTACATTATTTTTTACAAAGAAAGTTTTTACAGTATTTTCAACAATATTTTTCTTCATCTTATTTGTTTTATTTCGGCTAGAATAAAAACAGTTTTACTTGTTTTTAACCACTTTTAGGTCAATATCATTAGACCCCTTAAGCAATATCTTTGTTAAATTGTCTGCAGAACAAACCGTCATTATGCAATCATTTGCCTACCCCAACGTGCCTTAATTAACCTAGTTAAGCCTTTAAATTCCACTTTAAGCTGAATGCCAGTGTCTTAAAGAATAGCTAGTAAAATTATATTTACTGTCATCATGGCAAAGATAAAAGAAATCAGTTATTAGAAATTAGTTAGTAAAACCTTTTTATTTGAATGTGTAAAAAAATCTCTCTGTTGAACTGATTCTGAGAGAATTTGAGAAAAATATACAGGGGGACTAATATATATATATATATATATATATATATATATATATATATATATATATATATATATAGACATAATTTGAAAATTTATAGAACATAGAATATAATTTGACATACCATTATTTTAGTAATATGTATACTAACATTACAAATCTAAAATGCTTGAACAAAAAACTGAAAACATCTCATCCAACATGACATTTTGTTCTCATTTAAAAGATTATTTATTTATTGTAAAATAATGTCAAATATTGTGACTGGAACAGAATGTTTTAGTGACATTATAAATGCCTTTGCTGATTTCAATGCATTCCTGCTGAATAAAGGAATTTCTTTCTTAATTAAAAAAAGACTTGAAATGGTTGTACTGTGTTTTCCTATTTTCCATAATATGCATAATTGAATTCAATTTATTTAAACATGATGCAGTAACATTTATCAGTAGGGGCCATCAAGGTCAAATCTGGTTAGTAACTCTCTCAAACTATTATTGCACTGCGAATTAAAAAAAAAACAACACATTCCGACTCTTTTCTTTTAGAAAATCACCACCTTCCCAGCCCAAAAGAACAGACACAGCTATGAGCAGCACACAAAAAAAGGTAAATAAATAATTATAATATGCCATGATTTGTCATTGTCCCAAATACAAATCATGAATAAGTTATGCAGAGTACAGTCAAATGCTGTCGACAAAGGGCTTTTTGGCAATGCATCCTGTGCATTTCTCAGCTGAACCTTCATGTCAGAGAAACCAAAGCACAGTTATACAAACCTCCATGATGGAAAAGCAACACCTGCGGAATAAATAAATCATGCTGGAAGGCATCATGACTATAAAAGTCCCACAGTGTGATGTCGCTGAAAGTGATCAAGGTTGGGAGCTACTAGAGACAGATAGAGATGGAAATGAATCATGTTCTCTGTCTGCTAGACTTGATTATTATTCATTGGACTCAGCCTCGTCAGGGCAGACCTTTAAGAGGTCAATAACACAGTCGTGTTCAAACAAGAGGTCAAGGTTAGGCTGGTTAATGTGACCCAGTGGGACCCTGCTGCTCAATAATATAATTAAAATATCTGAAAACAAACAGAGTCTTGATTCACAGTAAGTTTTTTTTTTTTTTTTTTTACTTTATTTATGAAAGCTTTTTTTTTTTTGACATTTCAGTTGTTGATTTTTTTTTTAAGTATTCATTTTCAAACACAACTGTATGCTTCTTTTCTTTTTCTTTTTCTTTTTCTTCTATATATGTTCATTATTTTATTTTTCTTCAATATCTTGTTTATTTCACAATTCAGATTTTTTAAATCATATTTATTTTGCATAATTTGCATAATATGTGTTTATGTTCATTGTAATTCATATTTTCATCAACTTTGCAAGAAGCCTAGCAACAGACCAAATAAAGACCAATGAGTGACCATAGCAAAAGAATTTGCAATCTAGAACATTGCATATAACTAATAGTAAACAAGGCAAGCATATTTGAGACAGTTGATTAGTCACATGCATGTATTTAAAGCTCATTACACACCGAAATATTAATTAATTAATTAATTAATTAATTCATTCATTCATTCATTCATTTACCTTTCTTTGACTTAGTCTTTATTTTAAAGTTCACCTCAATGGAATAAACCGCCAACTATTCCAGCATATGTTTTATGCAGCGGATGTCTCTCCAGCCACAACCCAGTACTGGGACACACACACACACATACACTACGGCCAATTTAGTTTATTCAATTTACCTATAGCGTACTGTATGTCTTTGGAAAGTTTTTAAAGATGTTTGGACAATTCACAGCCACTGTACAAGAAGGCAAAATCCAGAATGCTGTCACTCACATCAGAGAGCACTTTATTTTAGACAAACGTAGCACTGAATATAAAAAAAGAATGTGGCAAATGAATGAACCAGTGCTGTAGACTAATGTAATCTGGTTTTAATGCCTGGCATGCAATATGCCTGCAGCTGTTTGGCAAGTGCGTGTCCATACCTTTGAGGCACTGCCAGTTCAGGACTAATTTATGCGTGGGAATATGTGTTGTATGCATGCAGTACTACAAGATGAGTGTCAAAATGCCACTGAGTTCCTGAAATTTGAATTTTAGATTAATCCTACTCAGCTCTTAAAAAAAAGACGTGAATGTCCATTGGAATTTAAATAGACAGAGTATTTCCTGTTTCTTTTTGGAAGCATTACTGCTTATGTTGATTGAATGGTAACACTTTATTTCGATGGTCCATTTGAGTATTAGTAGACTGTCTGATACAGACATTCAACAGGCATAGAAACTTACTAACCCTAACCATAACCCCGACCTAACAGTCTACTTTAGTCTATTGAGAATTAGTTGGCATGTAGATGCAATGTTACTTAAACTCAACAAAAGGACCATTAAAAATAGAAATAAAGTGTGACCGATTGAATTGTTCTGACTTTTCACAAGTTGCATCGAACTCAAGATTTCTGTTTTAGGATACAGACCAAAAAGAAGATTTTGGACTTCAATCTGCAAAGACAATACTGTTCCTACGGCAAAACTTACCGGGTGAAAAAGTTTTAATTTCCCATTATTTACATTAACATTTTTTTCACATAAGTCCAAAACCAAATTTTTGTTAATTTAGTATTTTTTAATTTTAAAATGTCGTTTTCACTAATCATTTCTCATGCAAAACTAATTTCTCATGCAATACTTAAACAGCTAATGTACAAGAGAATTTTGAATGAAAGCCATGCAGTGACCAATCCTCTCAGCAGCAAAAACATCAAAACACCAAACTAACCTTTTACCAAGGAGCATGTTGTGTGGTCAGGCCAAGATTCATTTATTTTGCTCCAATGATAAAAAATGCAGTCAAGCAAAAACTGAACCCAAATGATGTAAAGAAGTCAGTGAAAGGTGGAGGAGAACGTTGCATGGTTAATATTTAACCTTTTTATCTTTCTATTTCTTTATTTTTGTAAGTGCCATGTTGACAGTATTATTTCACAGTGAAGCGCAGCCACTGGAAAAATATTGACTCAAGACATTCGGACGCATTCACTTTTCATTATGCTTCAAACTGTTTTTTTTTTTTTTTTTTTTTTTTCGATTTTTATATTACTTTTTAATTGTATGTAAACAGTAGTCATAAACACACTTGTTTGTAGTTTGACCGTCTGTTATTTCTAGACATTTCTTTATATACGTATAGGCAAATCAAAAGTCCTTAAAAAAATAGCAGAATAATAAAAAAACAGCTTACTTCCGCATTGCAGAATAAGGTCAATACTATAAATGATCATTCAATACTATAAAGCACAAATCTTTTTCATCAGTGCAATCACATGCATAATTTAAAAGGGGCAAAGAAGATCAGTTTTAAAATCACGCTTCCTGTGCCAGCCAAGCATCTGCCATTAGAAGATCAGGAACGCTAACAGATGGCTTTCTCCCGATATTATCGACCACCTTTGGCTCAAGCTACAAACAGCTTCATCGTCACCATGGTACAGATAACCACAGAGTGCGTTCTCTGCATATGAGGAATAAATTGGTCATTACTGTCACGGCTTGATAATTATGCTGTGACCTCTTTTGACACAGCTGTTTTGGCAGGCTCTCATACGAAGAGAGACCACAGAAAGTGTTCTAATGAGAATCAGCCTGTCAGACAAACAGGCTTATAATCGCATGCTGCTCCTCCATGCCAGCGATCGCATAATTCTGATTAGAGCCACGCCATGTGAAGGCTGCCGATAAACCCAAATCCTTCTTGAAGAAAAGGTGGTTAGCTGTAAGGATCTGCCAGAAACAATCTGCACACTTGATTGGTGAAGCTGTCTGAAAAAAAAAAAAAACTGATTGTTGGGGATGAAGGGAGCTTTGAATAACAGCACACGACAGGCAGAGAAACAGCCACACGCGCGCAGACTCATTAGACAGACCCTCCCCGCGTCTCTGAACTCCACTTTGAATTATATGAAACTGATCTTCCTCCGTAATGAAGAAGTGCTGAGCCCTGGTCATTAAAGTGGAAAGTGCTGAGTT